TATATGAAACATGAGATCAGTTTCTCCACTTTGCAACAATAAGTTACATGTACTAGTTATATAAACATCACTCCATATATTTGTGTGTGTGCGCACGCGTGCACCAAGTCAAAGACTTGACAATAGAGTAAAGACATATCTTGATCTCATTAAAAGTGGATCTCTAACTCTTGACTCCACTATCCATATAGGATAAGATCTAATATATAGTATTTGACACTTGAATAACACTAAGAGAAATATATTCAAATGTAATGTTCTTTAGCTTTAAAACTTTCGAGCTATGTGATTCAAAACCTTATAGTTCAAGCACTTGAACCTTTATAATGTTAATCTTCCACAAAATCAATTTCATATCTTTACTATCTGATATGTTCTTCTTTGTTCTTTTTCTAATCTCCTATCTATCCTATATTTATTATAGCTCATATAATATTTAAGAGCCAAAGTCTTATATCAACTGGAATATTGCTGTACAAGCATGTCCTCTATACGTAACAAAACTTAGTCACATGTTTTTTTAACTCAACACAATGGATAATGTCAATAAAGAAAATCAACGCTCAATTTATAAGTCACGTTAACCTTCAAAGTTCACAATAATTAAGAAGAGACTGGTTTGAAGTTCCTAATATGAAAAATTGTGACCTACTAAGAACGTCACTAAGTTATCCCTCAGTTCAATCAAATTTGAAAATAAGATCATTTATAACAAAACTTATCAAATCAAAAGCTCAAGTACTAGAATATATTTTTTCTGTACTTGACATAGTTTTTGATCTCTATTCTGTAAAGTGGTATGACCCACACCAGGTCTTTTATTACGTGATTGATGCTCTAAAGCGTCTTGTACCGCCAATATACCAAAAAATTATTGTGTCAAATGTTATCATATTTAGCTTATCACTTTTATAAAGGTCAACATCTATAAATTTTTAATGCCATGGTCTATCAAATTTTAAAGATAGTTATTCTTAAACAATGCCTATTTATACACGCACCATTTTGCTTTTATGCTAATTAATGTATATGATAGTTCAACTTTAGGCACAGAGTCAAAAGTTCGTTATGTTCCCAATAATCATCCGCCATTCTATTGTTTCACTATCATAAACTTAATTTCATATCAAAAAATCTATAAGTTCTAAGTGAGAATTACATTTATTTTTCAATTTTAGAATTTCCATTTGGTTGATGGATTAAATAGTTCTAAGTGAAATTTTCTCTAAATTTTCCATTATTGAACTATCACTCAACTGACAATCAATAAGTCTAATTAAGAATCTCAATAATTCCATTGATCTTAGCATTTATAATAGTTCATGAATTAACAGATATAATAAAATTTCAATCAGGCCATCTCATAATGTAGAATAAAAACATAAATATGCATATTTATTCAATTATGACATGTATGATGATATTACAAATTAATTTTTCTGAAAAAATTTCAAATATAATCGAAGAATAAAACTCACATTATTTAAGTTTTATTTTATAGATAATTAACCTCACTTTAGTCTCGGTTGCAACACGGTCCCAACAAATAGGAAATGACATCAGAATATTTCTACTTTTCACCAAAAAATATGTCTAAAAATTATTCACGTGTTACATTAAGTTATATTTTAGATCCATTTATAGATTCAATAACCCCTAACTTTTCGATGCATTTTGTATCTATAGACTTTTTAGTATTCTTTCTTTGCATGTCAAAATGTGCATCAATGTAGTCACATTTAAGTAGACATGAAATACAAGAATATGTCATAACGTATTGCACAACCACATTAAGATCAAGACCACTCAAGAACATGAGAAGGTGATACTATTCAAAATTAGAAAAATTTTGATATTAAAATTGTATTTTTTCAGCTTACATATAATTTTCAAGAAATTGATTACAAATGGAAAGTTCAATCTAAAAAAAGGGAGCATTTAAAAAAATTATAATTACCTCCCACTAGGTAGTAGAATACTTAAATAAACATTCTAAATTTAATATAAAATTTTCATATTTCACTTAAGTCGAAAATGATTTCTTTCATTTTTAAAAATGTATTTTAAACTTTAAATACATAAAAAATACTTTAACATTCTTGTTATGTCTAAAATTGTAATTGGCATTCTATGAACAAAAAAAAGGACTTAATTAAACATATCTAAAAGTTAAGGCTTGATGTGCAATATTTTATAGTTGTTAGGGTTCGTGTTTGTGTTTGGAAAAAAGGAGCCAGGCAAGATTATATATATATACATATGCCTATGAGAATTGAGATGGTTGCTTGGGATAGAGAGATAGAACAAGCGGCGGCTGAAAGGGTTGAAGAAAAAAATTGTGGCTGCCTTTGAGAGCTGGAATTAAAGAGATAAAAACCATAGTAAAGGCGGCTGGGAAGAGTGAAAAAAGGCAGGATGCTGAAGTTAATTATCTAGACACACATGCATGCAAAGACAAAGCAGATTTGAGGGCTGAATTGAATAAAATAACGTGTAGCTAGGAGTCAAACTTTGGGCTGAAATTATATCATACATATACACGAAAATTGAGGCAGAAAAGGGGGCTGGGTGCTGTTGATATATACACATAAACAAACAGAATTTGAAGTAGCTGGGAAGAGTCAAGAAAGATGGCTGTTGCAGGAATTAAAGAGTGGAAACTACCATGGTTAATATAGATATATTCACATGCATGCAGAGACAAAGCAAAAAGAAAGATAAATGAAGAATTTGCATCCACCAAATTGGATATATATTTTCACAGAAAACCAAAGCAGAAGAGGCCTGCCTAGTGTTGAGATTTATTTTACACACACACACACACAAGACAAGAGGCAGTTATGGGAGAAGTTAAACATAGTTGTTGGAATTAATTAGATATGCATACAAAAATGCGAGGAGAGGATTGAACTTGAAAAAAATATTCTATACTTTGATCTACTCATTCAATCCCACATTCTCTTGGCGTACTTACATAAAAACACCAAATCCACTTTCATCAAACATTATAACCAATCCTTTCAGAGCAGCTGTTGAGACTTGAAGATCGAGGAAGGAGATCGGAGTTTCGATCATTGGAGAACGGGGAGTTCTTAGAAATCCTCAGAAGATAGACGAAATCTAGAGTCGGGAACTGGTGTAGGAGCACGTAATCCAGGAGGGCTTGGAGCTGGGAGTTGGTGTAGGATCACACATTCCAAGAGGGTTTTGGAAAACGACAATCAGAAGATCAGAAAAACTAATGTGGGTTGAGTCTAACGGATTGTAAGAGGTATTTTCGTTTATAGTGGATTCGTACTGGCTTTGGCCCAAATTTTTACCCACATTGGGGTTTCTCCGTCATCAAACAATTGTATTCTTTATATTTCTGCAATTTACTTTTTTTCGGTAATTCAACGTAGGATAGTAAAGCATGTGAATTGATCTGGATATATTTATAATTGTGACTTGTTTCATTTATTAATTAATTAGTAAAAATTTCGCAAAAACACTTATTCACCCCTCTCTAGGTGTCATTTGGGTTAAACTACGTTATTTCAAGTGGTATCAGAGTCAAAACTCGAGTCCTGGCCCATTGTTGTCTAGATGAGTCAATCACTGTCCGTGCCTCCATATTTTGATGGAATCAACTATACCTACTGGAAGGTTAGGATGCGTGCTTTTCTTAAGTCCTTAGATGAACGTGTTTGGGTGAGTGTACGAAATGGTTGGAAACCTCCTTCCACAACTATGTCAGGTATTGTTAATGTAACTGATATTTCACTTTGGACTAAGGAAAAATTAGTTGATTGCAATTGGAATAGCAAAGGACTTTATGCCTTGTTTATAGCCATGTCTCTCGAAGAATTTAGGGGAGTGTTAATGTGTGAAACTGCTAAAGAGGTATGGGACATTCTAAAGACTACGCATGAGGGCACTAAAACCATAAAAATTTTAAAATTGCAAATGCCAACCTTTAGGTTTGAAGAAATCAGGATGAAGGATGATGAATTGTTTGATGAGTTTTATGCAAAATTGAATGACATTGTAAACTCTGGTTTCAACCTGGGTGAGAAGATTCCTGAGTAAAAAATTGTGAGAAAGGTTCTTAGGTCTTTGCCCGAGAGATTTAAACCTAAGGTTACAGCTATTAAAGAGAGTAAGAATCTGGACACAGTTAAGATAGAAGAACTCATAAAATCCCCTCAAACCTATGAACTCACCATCTCACAACCTAAGAAAAATAAGTCGATAGCACTGAACACAATTAGAGAAGAAGAGTCTGAGTCATCTGCCATAGAAACCCTTAGAGATGGGAAATAGCTTACTTCGTAAAGAAGTTCCAAAAAGCTTTAAAGGGCAAGAGATGGCCCCAAGACAAAAAGAGAGGAGCCCCTAGTAAATTTCAAGAAGAGAAGAGTGATAAACCAACTGCTAAGAATTCTAGTAAGAAATCTCAAGTTGTTAGGTGCCATGAGTGTTAGGGATTTGGGCACTATAGGAATGAATGTCCTAACTTTAAGAAAATTTTGAAAAAGGAAATGAGTAAGGCATTAGCTGTGTCATTGACTGATGATGATTCAAACTCAAGTGATCAAAGTGATTCCTCCAGTAATGAAGATGAAAAGGTTATATGGCTTTTGTGTCTACAGTTAAGAGTGAGTTAGATAAGGACAGTGAGAAGGTTGGAGAGGATGTAGAGAGTGAGAAGTCTAGTGACAATACTGAGGATGAGACGGATAAGTGCCTGTTTGTCTCCCTTTAAAATTTTAAATTGTTTGTTACAATATCATTCTCCATCACACGTTCACACAATAAAATATTCTACACACAAATCAATAAAATTTCTTTACTTTTTACCCACATATTCTCCAAAAAATACTATTCAAAACTCTTTAATTTTCCAAATAATGGGTGACATACAGGGCCTAAAATTCTGGGGAAAAAACTGTAGAAAAATCTGTGTGGAGTCCAAAATCTTCACCTGTCCACGACTAAGCATCTCTGATTTCTTCAATTTCTTCATGGCAAATATTTCTCCTGTACCTTTAGCACGACATAACCTAACCTGCATCACTTGACTGGATCACATAGAAGGTCATAGAATATGATAATCAAAGATATATTTACATATATCACCAAAGTACCTCATTTTCATTTTTCTATATCGTTTACTTAAAATTGAATAAAACTTATTAATAGTACAAATTGGAAACTAAACTTGTATACTTCCAAAATAAAGTGACTCCAAACTACAATCCCTTCCATTAGACTTTATGTAATTGATCCGAAAAACAAGTAAATCTGGAAAAAAAATTATCATAAAATCGTTTGATAGAATCAAAATTCCTTCTTTATGATCTAACCAAGAGAACAATACCAGACCAATATTGTGAATTGCCGACTCATTCTGTTCGCAATTTATGGAAAACAGAACAAATGTGAAAAAATATCTACACCAAAATGAATATATACCTCACCAAAAGCTCCTTTACCAATGATAGTCAACTGCTCAAAATCATCAACCCCAACTTTATGCCTCTGCAATCTCATATATTCTGTCTCTCCTCTCCAAATTCCTCAGCATTCTCTCTTGCTCCTCATTTGATACCTGCTCCTCTTTCGCCCTCCTCTGCAACGCCCACCGCCTGAAAACCCACCCCGAATTTAAAAAGAAATAACACAACTCACCAACAATAGCATATATATGCATACACGCAATAAATTCGGGTCGACGATCTTGATATACTTAAGTGACAACAAACTAAGTTGTTGCAATAAATTTAGGATTGAACACATTGATTCAGAGATTGAAGGATTAATAATGATAATTCACCTTTCTTTGCGATCTTGTAAACCTTGATGATAGTTCTTGTAATGATTCTCAATGAACTGTTTCGCGGCTGCGGCCTTCTGCCGTGTCACTGGAGAAGAAACCACCTTATTAGGCTCCAAATTGAAGGTCCGATCGGCCTAAAACTTCATTTTCACTGTTTTTTCTTCACCACCCTCCATTTCGTTTTCCAGATCAAGAATTCGGAAAACAAAAAAAACGTCCCTTTTCTTGTACACACCAAGTAAAGAGAAAAAAAAAAGGTAAGACGGATATACATGAGGCTTATCAACTTTTGTTTAAAGAGAGACTCAAGATCAAAAAGGTAAATAAGACCCTATTTAAAAAGGTAGACGAGCTTGAGAAGAGGAAGAGAGACTCACTAGTGATCTTTAGGTCTCATCTAAAAAACTTAGTAAGTTGAAGTGTGTCAATGAGAAGCTAAAGGACAAGGTTAAGACACTAACTTGTGAGTTAGAGAAATCTAGTACTCAACTACAGTCTGTTATGAATGGGACTAAGAAACTAGACGATCTGTTAGGAATGAACAAACCAGCTAGGAATAGGCAAGTTTAAAATTTGTAAAGAGTGATAGCAACGTGACTAGTTCATCCAAGACCACATTCATGCCTACTTCCAACAAGTCTAGTATTTCAATCAATCCTGAATCCAAAGTCAAGAGTGTCACTGAATTGAATACCACTAGAGCCCATAAGATTTCTATACCAAAATTCCAGCACCAACAATCACATGCATTTGAGCTTAGGTTCATACCCACTTGTCATCACTGTGGTGCTTTAAGACACATGAGACCTAGGTGTCGTAAGCTAGCAAATAGGAATAGAAGTCAAGATATCCTTAGTCAAGTAAACTTCCTTTCAAATCAGGTTAGTCACTTAACTGAGATGGTGACAAAATTGACTAGGATCACCTCGACCTCTAGAAAAGTTTGGGTCAAGAAATCTGATATGGGTAGGTATGGTGAGAATTTAAATTGTTTTGTAGCTCATGTTGCATATAAGGCTCGAAATAAATGTATATGGTATCTTGATAGTAGACTCATGTGTGGTAATAAGACCTTATTCTCTACCTTTAATGACTGCAATGATGGTGTAGTTACCTTTGGAGATGGGGCTACGGCACCTATCCGTGGTAAATGCACCATCAACATATCTAGACTTACTACTGTATCTAATGTGCTTTATGTATAGGGTCTTAAGTCCAATCTGTTGAGCATTAGTCAAATCTGTGATGCTAACTATGAAGTGAGTTTTGTTCAAAAGAGATGTACTGTTTATGACTCTTCAGGTGGTGTTGTCATTGAAAGTGTTAGAACGTTTGATAACTATTATGGAGCTCTCCCAAACTCTAACTATGTGTGCAGCAGTGCTAAATTGATATGACTGAACTTTGGCATCAAAGACTCGACCATGTTAACTATAAAAGTTCAAAATTGGTCAAAAAGGAAATTGTTGATGGTTTACCTAAAATTGAACAAAATGAAAATGCTATGTGCAAGCCATGTCAACAGGGAAAACAATTTAGGATAAACCATAAACAAACATCTAAAATCTTGACAAACAGACCCTTAAAACTTCTCCATATGGATTTAATGGGACCTTCTAGGATTGAGAGTCTAGGAGATAAACGTTATATTTTTGTTGTGATAGACGACTTCTCTACATATACCTGGATTGAGCTACTAAGAGAAAAATCCGAGACTTGTGATCTAGTTAAATCCCTATGTAAAAGACTTAGGGTTGAACAAAATCTTTCCATTTCTAGGGTTCGAAGTGATCGTGGAAAAGAATTTTAAAACTCTAATCTTAAAAACTTCTGTTTGAAGGAGGGGATTCAACATGAGTTCTCCTCATCAATCACTCCACAGCAAAATAGGGATAGACGACTTCTCTACATATACCTGGATTGAGCTACTAAGAGAAAAATCCGAGACTTGTGATCTAGTTAAATCCCTATGTAAAAGACTTAGGGTTGAACAAAATCTTTCCATTTCTAGGGTTCGAAGTGATCGTGGAAAAGAATTTTAAAACTCTAATCTTAAAAACTTCTGTTTGAAGGAGGGGATTCAACATGAGTTCTCCTCATCAATCACTCCACAGCAAAATAGGATTGTTGAGAGAAAAAATAAAGTGCTTCAGAAAATGGCTAGAGCCATGCTTTACGACATGGATCTAGTAATGCATTTCTGGGGTGAAGCTATTAAACTGCTTGCCATATAATGAACAGAGTATTCCTGAGACCGAAAATCGATAAGACTTCTTATGAGATCTGGAAGGTCAAGAAGCCTACTGTTAAATACTTTCGTGTGTTTGGCAACAAGTGCTACATTCTGAGGGATAGAGAAAACTTAGGCAAGTTTGATTCCAAAAGTAATGAAGGGTTTTTTCTAGGGTATTCTAGGAACAATAGAGCCTATCGAGTATACAACTTGCATACTCAGAGTGTCATGGAGTCTATTAATGTTGTTGTTGTTGATACTTTCTCTGAGGGGGAGAGTGTTGAAAATGTGGTAGATTTAGATGATCTAAGTGATGATTAAGGACCCACAACTGAGGATAAAGAACAATCAATTCCAAAATATCCGTGGTCCCCAAAGGCATAGACATTTCTGTTAAGAATCCTTCACTTAGTGCACAAACTAAGCTTCCTAGAAAACCATCATCCATGGTCAAATCTAACAATCCTAAGGTCAACATCATTGGGGATCTAGATGAAGGTATGAGGTTAAGAAAGAGAGTTCTGAATAACCTAACCTATACAAGCTATGTATCCCATATTGAGCCTAAGAAAGTTGAGAAAGCTATTAGAGATGAATGTTGGGTGAATGCAATGCATGAGGAGCTTAATCAATTTGTTCGAAACAATGTTTAGTATCTAGTGCCTAGGCCTAATGATTGCAATGTGATAGGTACTAAGTGGGTTTTCAAGAACAAGACCAATGACCAAGGTACCATAATGAGAAATAAGGCTAGGCTAGTTGCCTAGAGGTACACTCAGGTTTAAGGGGGTAGATTTTGATGAAACATTTACCTCCGTTGCACGTCTTGAGTCCATTCGCATCTTTCTTTAGGTTGCTTGTACTTTAAGGTTCAAGCTATATCAAATGGATGTCATTAGTTCCTTTTTGAATGAAATACTTCAAGAAGAGGCATAAGTTGAGTAGCCCAAAGGATTCATCGACCCTAAATTTCCTCATTATGTCTACAAATTGAATAAAGTCGTGTATGATCTAAAACAAGCTCATAGAGCTATGACAGACTCACTGCATATCTTGTTGACCATGGGTTTTCATGAGGTTGTGCAGATATAACTCAATAGGCATATTGAAGAAACCATAACTATAGCACAAATCTATGTTGATGACATCATTTTTAGCACTTCCATTGACTCTCTTGCTCATGAATTTGTTGAATGTATGAAACAAAAATTTGAAATGAGCATGCTTGGAGAGCTAAGTTACTTGGTCTTCAAGTGAAGCAATCTGACTATGGGTTGTTTATTTCTCAATCAAAATATGCCAAAGGTCTTGTAAAATGATTGGGGCTCAATAGTAAAAAAACACACAATGACACCTATGAGCAGGAGTGTTAAGTTAAGTCATGATCCTACTGGTAAGAGTGTTGATCAGAAATTGTATAGGAGTATATAAGAGTGTTGATCAGACATTGTATAGAAGTATGATAGGTAGCTTACTCTATCTTACTGCCAGCAGACCTGACATAGCATTTAGTGTTAGAGTGTGTGCAAGATTTCAGATTGATCCTAAGGAATCCCATTTGAGTGCAGTGAGGCAAATCGTTAGGTATGTAAATGGCACTGTTGATCATGAAATCTTGTACTCTAGAGACTCCAATCTTGATCTTGCTGGATATCCTGATGCCGATTGGTTGAAAATGCCGATGACAGGAAGAGTACCTTGGGTGGTTGTTTCTATGTAGGTTCTAATCTGGTATCATGGATGAGTAAAAAACAAAACTCAGTTTCTTTGTCCACAACTGACGTAGAGTGCATTACTGCTGGTAGTTGTAGCACTTAGTTGCTTTGGATGAAGCAAATGTTAAGTGATTATGAGATAAATCAGGATACAACTACTGTGTTCTGTGATAACACTAGCGCTATCAGTATCTCCAAAAATCATGTTCAACACTTTAGGACTAAACATATTGACATTCGTCATCACTTCATTTGTGAACTTGTTGAGTCTAATGTGGTATCCCTTGAACACATTGCTACAGAAAATCAGCTTGTCGATCTGTTCACTAAACCTTTGGATGGTCTGAAGTTCGAGTCACTTAAGAAGGCTGTTGGTATTTATCTACCTCCTTGACCCATTTCATAGGAATATTCATATACAATTCACCTCAGTGTCCATTTTTGCATTCATTTCATTGCATGTTCATTTTGTTTGCATTTGTCTTCTTCATATGTTTTTAAATTCATCATATAAAATTTAAAAAAAAAAAATCAGGTAGCACAACTCTGTGGTGCCTTCATGTTTAAAAAAAGAAATAAAAACAAAAATTTTAAAAAAAAATTGGAAATTTCTACAGCATGATATATAATTCTGAAATTTCTATGTTGTGATCGTGTATGAGCTAAAATGAATAAGCTGTAGCATTATTTCCATTGATTGATTAGGTCATCATGGAGTACGTAGTATAAGTGTCTTCATGTACCATTTCCACCGCATACACTATGAATTTGTTAGTGGGACTCTACGTATGTGTGAGATTTGAAATGGCTGTCACATGTTAATAGGGTGACTTTGAACATGAAATGACAAATATTTAGGAGATCGAAACCCGAAAATAATCCCCCCATTAAAATAAGCTCATATCTTAATGTTCTTCTTCGAGGGCTATTTGACTCGAGCAATTAAGCCTGAGGGTCTCTTAAAATCTGGTGCTTATGGTTAATTGACTTGAGTTAACTGGCTTAAAGCTCCCTGATTTGTGACAAAAGGGGGGAGAAAAGTGTAATTGAAAAAAAAAAAAAATGTAAAACAACTGCATTTGCATGTGCATTGTTTTTCACTGTTTGATTAACACAATACTCTGCATTTTGCATTGCTATGTCTAGGGGTCGCTGGGGAGAGACATAGATACATTAATTTACTGCAGTACATTTATGAGAGTTTGCAGTAAGGGGAGCGTTGCATTATATTTCATATCACATCTATCTTTTTGAATT